TGAACTGTGCCAGAGCTGTCTGACTTGAAACTTTTTTGACATGTACAGTAGTTCGGTACGTAAACCGTCTTTGTTGTTTTTCTTCAGACTCCTAAACTTACGGTGTAATATATGCGTAATATAAATCTCTTCCTCTGATGAACAACATATCTGTTCTCATTACCCTTCATTTTTAATAAAAATTATTTCTTAACTCTATTGGTCACTTTGTGTATTAGGTTACTTCAAACTACTTTGCCAACCCTGACAATTTATCCATTATCTTTAGGTTACTTTTTAATGATTCGTTGTTGACTTATCATTAACGGACATTTATTAGCATTTCTGTGGCCATTTGAAAAACTGCACGGCTTTGATGATAAGCCACGAGAACAATATTCTCTCCTGACCTTTGCTATTGGTTGTAAATTTTGCGTCCCTATTTCTTTTTTACGAAAATCCTGAGAGATTCAAAAGTTTGTCACTATGACACGTTTTTGTTTGGTGAACAAAAGCATGCGCCCAGGATGTCGATCGTGATGATCAACTTCTGTTTGAAATCTTTTGATGGTGAGAGATTAGCTTATCCTGCAAAAGAGGAGAAAAATATTATAAAAGTACTACAACTGATGGGTGCTGAAAAGAACTGCTTGTTTCAAGGTTAAACAGATACCTGACTTTTTTATGATAACCTGTGACTACATCCTAACTGTGGGAAATGATTATTAATATATGTGTAAAACTTGGGCACTGCGATAGTAAGTAATTCCATATTAGTTTGTTTATTAGATGTATCACACAGTGAAACAGCATTACTATTTAGTGGATGACAAGGTTTTGAACAAAATTTATTGTTCATAATCATATCAGTTGTAATCACACAACTTTGGAACTTGAGTTTCGTAGTTTTCTTTGTCTTCTCCTACAATCTCGTATATAGTGCGGACGTTCCATGTCCCCACACAGACTTTTTCTTTTGTCGCAAAGAGGCTTATCGTGGTGAATATTAAACCTATAAACAAAGGCTTGTCGAACGAGATTATTTCGTGACCACATCAAAAACTAAATTGAGGAATAAACACTACTACTGTAAGAAAGAAAAGATCGTTGAGGCTCGAAGGAATGTTTATAAGGAAAAGCTGATTGTAGGTACGTAAATTTAGTATGCCATATCTTCAATACCTTATTTGCGCATCTTTTGCAAATCGGTTGAATATCACCACACTACCTTTGCAGTCACTGACTGCAAATGTTTTCAATTTTGGCTGCTTCCTAGCAGTCTGCGTCTATATGCCACTGATATATCTCTCGGGTAGCACACGTCACAAATACGCTTTGAATTGACAAAGTCAATCAAACTTCGAACAGAGATTAATTAACGTTATTGTGGTACAATGTGGGAGGAAGAGGGACAATAATGCATCGTAAATGTTTGGAATGCAGCTTTTGAGGTCTCATTGATTCAATCGCCTTGTTTACCTAACTCTTAACTCCTAACTTCGCTAATATTAATATAAGCCTGAATAATTGATAGCTATTGACTTTTGGTGAGGTCTTTTCCTTCACTTTGGCTGTCGTTTCGAGCATCTGAGTAGTTATTGCTCCTCAAATTCTTAACCTGAGGGGACCAGTCTCTTTACCTCATACACCATGAAAAGACAGAATTCCATCACTTTCCCTAACCTTTGGCCACAAGTTGTTAGCAGTATTAACTATATGCTATACCAAGCTTCAAATATGTTTACAGTTATTTCCTGTCAAAATGCGAAATTCTTATTAGGTAGCTGGATACATTAAGATTCAGACAAACTTGTGCAACGGGTGGTGCACGAATTGAGTTCATGAAGGCTTTAAAAAGGAGTTCTAATACCCCACTACCCTTATACATTGTTTACTTATATCTAGAGGTTACCTTTGTGCTCGTCGTTGGTTTGATGTGGATGACCTTTTAGGTGAGATGTCAGCCCATATGTGGGAAGTCAGTGTTTAAAAGGAACAGAATTGTTGCATATGGTCACCATTGACAGTTGGTCGTAATGAGGCTATCGAAACTTTCAGTAAAGCTTTCTGACTGCTTCGACCTTCATATTTGAATATAAAAATGTGACCTTATCCAAACGTTTTGCTTTTAGCAGCAAAATATGCATCGCTTGTTTGTGGAAGTTAACATACGATGAAGTATTCTTCTGATTATTTTACTCTAAATTTTTCTATAGATCAAATCAAAGTCTATTCTTGCAAGTATTAATCAGCAAGGTGGAACCGTTCACTTTCCCGATGATCCTGAAGATTACAATTCAGTTAGAATGCTCTCGATCTTTCAATAAAATAAAATGGAATTACTAATAGTCTCCCTATAAGGAAATCTGCCTGTCAGATAATAATGCTGGCTAATGTTAGGGTTACGTTTATGATATAGTTTCTCATGCATACGCTAGAGAAGATCCGAATTTCATTTTCCAGTCTGGCATATTCCGTCGCGAATTTTTAATGTAGAGTGCACAGATTTTCGCGACGCTTATTTTCCATTCGTGATTCTTCCGGAAGTTAACTTTGTCGTCATTACCGGTATAACCGGTAATCAAATACACCATAGTGATAATGATAACTTGCTTAATTCCAAAAACAGTACTAATGATACAGCAAGGAATTTTCAGCATTCAGTACAATATTGCATCTAATTTACTCAAAAACGACAAAAAGTATAATAAAAATAAACATTACATAATAATAATAAAACGTCGTTATAGCAGCTACATAGCAAATTACTGGATGCAATACGGAGAAAAAAAATATGCATAAAGTACAAAATTGTAGTAATGATAGTAATAACAACTAAAATAAAATAGCAGTTATAATTAAGCGCTAGAAAGTATGACACCATATGATACAGAAAGATGACCAATGAAAGGGTCGATTCACTGTGCTAATTACATAGTAACTTATGTGTTCCACGTCTAACAGAGTCTTCGTCACATAAAGTACGGGCTAAATAGGGTATTGTAGAATTTCTGTACTTAGTGGTATGAGCATATAACTTTTTATATTGACTTCTCGTCCTACCTGATGAGATACAAGGGGATAGTTGTGAATAAAAGGGGTGCAGAGAGGGTCTGACAGTACAGCCCTTGCCCATTTTGTACATGAATTTGCGTCTATGTGTGCAAGATGTAACTAGGCTAAATTGCCATACCAGAAGAATGATATGGATGATGTTAAGAGTAAGACCTCTTTCTTCCTACTTTAAGTAAAAAAACCCACATCGAGCCTCAAACAAGAGGAAAGCAGAGCTTATTGGTTTGTTTATAGGACTGCTAGTTACTTCGACTGAAATTTTCCCTGCAGTTAAGTTGGTGATTACGACTACTACCCGTATCATCAGTTATTTCTAAAGAACCAAAGAAAGTCCTAGTATCTCAATTCGAACAGCATTTATCACGAAAAGGCTGATCTCAAATCTGATCGCGAGTGCAGGCAAACACCCACGTCTAAGTATACTTCTTGACCTTAGGATTTATGATTGTAATACTGAGATGAAAATGCTAGGGAATGCACGACACTTCAATAAAGTCTACTTATGTTAATTTATTTTAGTGGAAATGTAGTATCGCGTATACTACAATATTTCAACATTGCCATATTTAACATAACAGTCAGTTGGAAGTCAACCCTGACAAATGTTTTCTTTTATCTGAAGCATTTTTTAATTTTTTCCCACCATGGGAATCCTAAGTTGTTATTACGAAATATTTTCTCTCTCTGAATTATACGGTTATATTTTACAGATGAATGAATGCATGAGGCTCGAAGGCTAATTTATGCAGCTAACTAATGAACTGCTAACAAATCCTACGTATACTGAACGAAAGAGTCACGTGCAGCTTTCATATGTTCCATGCATTAAGGATTTTTGACATTTTTAAAAACACAGGAACATGATAAAACTAGAGTGCTTCATCATTACAAATGTCGGTCTATGTCAGTATGCCAATGGCGAAAAACATTAATAAAATAACCCTTTACTAGATGTTGATCCCGGAAAATAAATTCTAAATGTGTTGATTAGTTCTTGTCAAGGTTTCGCATACATTCCTATGACTTAAGACTAGTGTTAGGTGTATGTGGTAAAAGAACTCCTTGTGTGTTACTATTCTTATATGCACTGCAGACATCTTTTTTGATGCGACTACTACTGTCATAGAAGGCATACGCGTCATAAGGACATGGTTAGATTAAAAAGCTACGTGTAAACATCCACCTTCAGCATTTTTTGAAATAATTACTTGTTTTTTCTTTGCGGGTAGGGGGGACTTGAAATTCCACTCAAGATAAGGCTTATTCTTGTCTCTAGTACTCCGCACGTAGCCATCTCGTCGATAGCTATAGCTTTGCAGGATCAATTTACACTTCCAGAAGGAAGCTTCAAATACTTTCACACTGCTCGACCTGTTTAATTTCAAAAAAAGATGACCTACTCCAGTTTACCTTGAATATATTGTGGAGTTAGTCATCACGAAATGTACTGTCAGAGTATCAGTTCTGATTACAGAAACAGGTGGAGGTGACCTAGCTCATCACAAAGAGAGTAAATGATCCAGTCTTTCTTACAAGTCTGTTTACTAATTTTTTCAATTCTATACGAGCACAAATCACGTACTAAAACTATTTAGTATTATTATGTAGACTGGAACTTCGACACCAGATTATTTCTACTGTGTAGACATATCTTTCACCTTACTTTTCACTAGCTTACCGACCGGGCTGACAAGAAAATCTTACTTGTTTCGCAATATAGCGACTATATACGGACCCAAAAATTTCATTAGAGTTACTACACTTCCGCTTGGATATAGAATACTTGATCACGCTAGTATATTCATCAATGCGTTTGTACTCTTTTGTAGATACTTAAACTCGAAACGAAAACGACGAAGTAAACTGTTCAGTAATAAACACTAAGAAGAATATTAATTAGTTTTATTTGCCGTCTGTATTTGTACAAAATCGTGTTTCCTTCGAAGTTAACGTGCTTTCCTGAAATAATAAACAAGAAAGTGAATCAGTAAAAAATCCACTTCACATAATTTTTTTAAAAATTTTATGCTTTCAGTGAGTAAAATAATATTACTCCAATACTTAACTTTTATTCCGTAGTGTTTGTAATTTTAATCAATACTTAATTTTTCAATGTATTTTTATTTCCCTTCATCCTTATTTTACTAACTGCACTTATACCAAAAACACGAAATAAATGTTATTTTGAAAATAAATCAAAGTACATTACCTTTTGGCATAACTTTGTCGCTAATACTTCCCAGTTGTAGGGTGAAGTGTACAATCCCGACGTTACAGCATTGTTAAGTTTCTAGTAGTCTTCACTACATTTAGACGAAGAATTCTGACTCATTAGCTGAATTATTCATACTTTGTGTAATATGCACTACTGATCATCACAATATACAAACAGGGAGTTAGCTGAATTACATACCTTCAGTGTATAAACCATTTCAAAAGGATGTGTTTTGTTCAAAATTATTCACTGGGATTCTAGGCTTCAATGTAATCCTAAGGTAACTCTGAAAATGGCATGAAATGCGTGTTTCGAGACATCCTACAAGTGCAAGAAGACATCCCTAGCTTAGTTATACTCACATCCATGTTGGCTAATGTTTTTGAGTGAATTTAAACATCGCACATCACACCACAAACTGTACCCACGAAAGTCTCAATGACAAGTAGTTACCATCTAAATTAGTGTGTGTGGAGAGTTTGCTCACAGTCGCAGGATATAATTCCCTACTAGCTAAGTTCATTCGATGTAATTCTTGGTGATTTCTTGAGCAAAATTTATTGCCTGCAATCATATGAATGAAGTGTTGGGAAGTTGTGTGGATAATTAATACTTTATTACTGTGCATTATTTCAAAGGAATTTATCTAATATGGGATTAATCTTCTTAAAGTTTCGTTAACGACAAGTTGTCCAGCTTCATTCATCTTAGTTGAATAATGCTTTATGACACAAAGATTTCAAAATTTTAATTCGGAATCCTACTTACCAAATAGGCTTTTTGCGTGCTTTCTTTTGACCAGGCTGTTTACGTTCTGCAAACCTATTGTCTTGAGTTAAGAGTCCAGTGACCGTTAATCTGTTTTTCCCTTGGTCTATGGGAAGCATCGAGGCCAGGCATCTCGCTAATGCTAATCGAAGGGCGTTGGCCAGAGAGCTTGAGCCCACTCCATCAACAGTAGCAATTACATCTACCTTTCCAAGTGTATCTAAAATGCAAAACATTTCTGGCATTATGTACATCATTCAGTTTATTTTTTTATCAGCTTAAGGTTACGAGTTCGAAACATACTCTACGTATCGAGGGGTTTGAATATTCACAAAGTACCGCACAGATCGTGAAACTCATTGCAACTATAATGTGTCATCGCTGAGTAACAGTTGCAGTGTTTACTATGCCAGAAGACAACCTACTTGTAATATGGTAAGAGCTTATCAGTACTATATTTTCTAAAGAAGTAGCAATTCGATTTCACATATCTTAATAGCGGTCATAAATAGGTTTCATGCTGTGAGTTTAAGTAAATAGTATGTTATGACACTAATTTGAAATTCATCATCATACTTGTTGCATTTCTTTATTGGGATACTGATATTTGCAAGTAGCAGCTTCAAGACTTAACTACTGGCTTCATTATATATTTTAACTATTTTAAACAGTGGGAACAAAAAAACGCTCACGCGATCATAAAAATAACCGTAGAATTAAACTTGTATACCGTCATGGATAAGATGCTAATCAATGAATTTATACAAAGTCAAGCAAATCGTGGTATATTAAACTTTACTTGTTTGCTGTAAGGGAAACATTATCTGTTCTCGATTCCCAAGTTCCGAGAATACTTCTAGAAGGCGTTTCCCATTTACCGTAAAACCACCAGTTCCAGGCATATACAACGTCGCTTCTGCAAATGCGTTTTTTTTTTGACCAAAGGCCCGGATATATTTTTGGTTCGTTACTAAATCCACACAGGGCTAAAAGACATAACTGATTTAAATATACTAACCTCAGGAAACTCAGTATCTGAAATGGCATCGTTGTGACGGACTCTGAATCTCTGAAGGAATTCTTCTGCCATATATGACAGCGGATGTTCAGACAGTCGCTTCATTAAAACTATCCACTGCTCATACTGTGAAATCAATTCAGTAAATCAGTCGGACAATACACATACCTGCGAATCAGTCAAAGTTTCATTTATCATCTCCATCAGTTCCGACTTGGTTACCCAATCATCAGACGTTAAACTGAAACAATCAATAAAAGGCGTTCTGGGTGATTCACATATCAAATGTAACATAAGTATTTAGCTAATCTTTACATGTTCCTCACTGCTGCGATCTACTATGTACACTGCTTGACCTTCTTATTAGAATACGTATCTGGGACTACGGTCTTAAGCTTTTTTAAAGTATTCCGAGCCAACGGCACTAAAAGGCAGTGGAACAGTCTCTGAGGTAGTTGATATGGTAGTCAACAACCTGCAAAAACACTGGAATGCTTTAAAACAGTTTTCTCACCTAAAATTTAGGTGTAAAAAGCTTTTTGGTAGAAATCTGAGGTTAGAAAAGAAGTTCAAGAGAAATAAGGGACCCAGTACAGCCAGTAGTACTTCAGACTTTTTAAGAGGGTTACCAAATTAGTCGGAGAAATGGGTTGAATGTTTGGAAAGCACAATACATTCAGTTAACCAGAGAATGAAATGTCTTGATGCATGTGGTAATCATCAGTGCATCCAATACCACTTACATAAAAAGTAGTGGCTACTGTCATGCTCTGCAGACTTTGAAAGGTGCCTTTAGACCGAGCTTGGGTTTCATCTGGGTGAAGAATATTTCAATCAGATGTTCATTCTCCAGCAGTCTCTAAAAAGCTGTCACCAGAAAAGTATGCCGTAAAACCTATCACCACTGTTTTAGAACAGAAGTAGGTTTTTTGGATTCCGATGTCTTAAATTTTATCACTATGGAGTCAGTTTTGATTTAGACACGCGACCTTGAGGTAGACAGTCTGATCTAACACGGAAAATATCGCTTTGATACATTCTGCTTCTGTCTCTGTCTGGATTCAACATAGAACTTGGCACCGAAGTGCACCAGTTCGAGTTGCCACGTTCCAAATAGCACACAAAGGTAGAAAAGAAGATGAGTGAAGAGAATCAATACAGTCTGACAAGTATAAGAGTGAAACAGAATGGGCAATGGTAGAAAGGAATATGAAAGATTACAGAGACTGAATACATCTGCGCCATTGACAACGATTTTGAACCATGTCACCTATTGTCTCCAACCATTGATTCCTAGAGTCCCGAGGGCCACAACCCGGAAGTATGCATCTCCCTACCTGCTGACTCAGTTTAACTGTCAAGGATTTCATGGATTGATGAGGCCATGTTTTTGTTTGGCCACCACTTACTCTTTTCCAACCTGCGCCTATATCAGCTAGTAATGCCTGTTGGAGGAGACGATGGTTAGGCATGCACAGCACGTGACCTAGCCATCTCAATCTATGTAACTTTATAGCCTCGTCGATTGATTTTCCCTCTTTGCCCAACACTCTACGCCTAACGTCAACATTACTTACCTTGTGAAACCACCTAACGTGAGACAGATCGCAGACATCTATGATCGAAAGCAGTCAACCTTTTCATGTCTTCAACTGTCTGTCTGTCTGTTTTCGACATAGAACTTTGCACAAATGTGCGGAAGTTCAAGTCGCCACATTCCGTGTAGCACGCGAAGCAAGAGAAGAAAGTACAAGAAAAGCATAATAGAAACAGTGAGCAGAGGTGTGAGACAAAGGAGTAATAAAGAAATACAAAACAGTTTCATTGAAGATCATAAGTCACAGGGAGTGGATGCATCTGCGCCACTGAGAACGATTTTGAGCCATGTCACCAATTGTTTCCAACCATAGATTTTTACCGTCCCGAGGACCCCAGCCTGGAAGTCTACACCTTCCTACGTGGCTTAGACCAACTGTTGTGGATTTCATTGACTGATGCCAAGTTTTTGTTTGACCGCCGCTAGCTTTTTTCCAGCCTGACCCTATATCCGCTAACATTGCTCGTCGAGGGAGGCGATGGCTTGGCATACGTAACACATGTCCTAACCATCTCAGTCTTTGTAGCTTCACGACTTCGTCGATTGATTTCCCCTGTTTACCTAGAACTCTACGCCTAACCTCCATGTTGCTCACCTTATTATGCCACTTTACACGGGAAATAGAACGCAGGCACCTATGATCAAAGACAGCTAGTCTTTTCATGTCTTCCACTCTCAGTGGCCAGGTCTCACAACCATAAAGGAGGACGGAGCGGACTGATGAGCAGTACACCCGCCCTTTGGTCGATAGTCGAACATCTCGTCTACGCCAGAGTCGGCGTAAACTAACAAATGCGAAACGAGCCCCTTGTATTCGTGCTGAGATTTCGTCAGAGATCAGCCCGTTGGGGCTGATGGTACTTCCCAAATAAGTGAAGCGGTCAACGTGCTCTACCACTTCACTTCCTATTTTTAAACTAGGCGTCGATGTAGTCCAGTCCTGTAACATCATCTTGCATTTGGCGGGAGCGAATCGCATGCCAAACATTCGTAGATTGCGGCTCAAGGTGTTTAGAAGACTCTGCATTTCGTCAGCGTCTTCGCCTAGAAGGACTATATCGTCTGCATATTCCAAGTCAACGAGATTATTCCCCGGTAGCAAGTCAATCCCTGAGTCGCTGAAGTCACCTAGGGTTAAGTCCATTAACACATCTATGATGAAGTTGAATAGAAAAGGAGATAATGGGCATCCTTGACGGACACCACTGGTCGTCATCAGTTCAGATGACAGCTCGCCGTAAGCCCTCACCTGGCTGTATGAGTACGAGTAGAGTGCCTTAATCAGTGCAATATATTTTCTTGGAATTCCCTTTACAGCCAAGCATCTCCAGAGAACTTCCCGATCGACAGAGTCGAATGCTGCCTTTAGGTCAAGAAATATAATGACTGTTGGACGCCGGTAGGAATGCCTATGTTCTAGAATCTGTCGGAGGGTGAAGATATGATCAATACACCCTCTTCCTGGTCTAAAGCCTGCCTGGCTCTCTCGTGTTTGTGCTTCCCGAGCACCACTCAGTCTACGCATGATTATTGAGCCTAAGACTTTAGATACTATATTAGTCAAGCTAATCCCTCTGTGATTATCACAGGAAGACTTGTCTCCCTTCTTGTATATGGGGATAATCAGTGACTTACACCAACCCGATGGGACTTCTTCTGATTCCCAGACGCTGCCTAGTACCTCAGTTAATCCGGACAGTAAGCTGTCTCCACCGTACTTAAATACCTCTGGAGTCATTCCATCAGGTCCCGCTGCTTTGCCTAGTTTCAGATTGGTGACAGCTTTAGTAACCTCAGTTAGTGACGGAGGACCTGTGTTTATATCCCATTCAGGGAGGTGTTGGATGCTCGGAAGGTTGAGCGTGGCTGTGGGCAAATTAAACTGCTCCTCATAATGCTCTTTCCAACGATCCAGTCGTCTATCCTGGGAGCTAATTATAGTGCCATTTTTTTCCGAGATTGTCTCACTGATGATTTGTCTTCTCCCACCCGTTTCCCTGATGAGTCCAAAGAGTTGCCTGGTGTTGCCTATCCTCGAAGCTTTCTCCATCTCTTTGGCTTTTGTCGCCCACCACTGTTCACGGTCCTTGCGGAGACTTTTCGTAAGTTTCCTCTTGTGCAGCTTTCGCTCCTCATTGAATTCGGAGCTCGCCGGAATAAGTCTTCTAGCATCTATCAGTTCGGATGAGGCGGTGGAGATCCAGTGGTTTTTACTCACCTTTGGGTTTACCTTATTCACAGCTTTTACAGCTGTATCTATGGCTGCCTGGATATTTTTCCAAGCTTCTTCAGGGTGAGCACAGCTGTCGAACACAGATATGTGTTTAGCTAGTTCTTCCTCAAATACGGATTTAGTTTCCTGATCGAGCTGGGGACGTGATGGTTTTACCGCCAGCTGTTTCCTACGTCCGTTCAGTCGTAAGCACACCCGAGCGCGGACCAGTGCATGGTCGGTATCTACGCACGTGTTCCAGAAGGAGCGACAATCTCCTACCGACCCACGCCAACGATAGCTTATTGCTATGTGGTCTATTTGTGTCCAGCGTTGGTTTGATGAAGGGGGTCTCCAAGTCAAACAGTGTCTCTCCTTGTGTTTGAAGTTAGTGCTTACAAGAAACAAATGATTATCAGAGCAGAACTGTAGGAGACGGTCACCGTTGTCGGTTCGCTGGCACGGAGCTCCATAGGTGCCACCGACATCCTTCTCAGATTGACACAATTTCCCTACTTGAGCGTTAAAGTCACCAGCTAGAACGACTATGTCTGAGCGTTTAGCCTTTCGCACCAAACTAGACAGCTTTTGGTAGAACTCATCCTTCGTTTCATCTGAACTGCAGTCAGTGGGGGCGTAGGCGGAGATTACGAAAAGGCATCGGCGAGTAGTGCAGTCCTTCCTCCTTCTTACTGATCCGTTCAGGCGGACAGCACACATTCGGCTATCTACCGGGATCCAGTCAAGCAATGTCTTTTCTGCCCTAGTACTCAAAGCTATCCCTACGCCAGCTAATCCTCGTGAACTAGCTGTGGCATCTCCTGACACCCTCAAGGTGAATTTTGCAGATTCAACCTGTTGGCCAGGTGGGGTTAGGTGAATAACCACACTTGGGTCTTGTATGCGTGTTTCTGAAACACAGCATACATCAATGGCTCGTGATGCCAGGGTCTTGGCTAGTGATGCTTGTTGTCCTATTTGGCAAAGTGTCCTAACATTAAGAGCTCCTATATGAAATTGGTGGCGCGGCTTTAAGAGGCTGTCGGTGGTGGTTTTTTGGCTTCCATCGTTTTTAGTGGACGCAGAGTGGAGAGGAAGTGGAGAGCTATCAAGTCGAGGAGTTGCATCAGTGGAAGGAAGGCAAGATGATAGAGATGAAGATGAAGACAAAGATGAGTGAGTAATAGAGAGGTTTCGTGTGCATTTCGGATTGTGAGGGCGATTGTTACTTCCCGGCTGCCCACACCGTGGAAGTTGGTTGCGTGACCGCAGAGCCCAGGGGACAACTGCTTGAGGCCGGTCACACGCGGCCTGTTTTTGTTCGTTCTTTTTTGTTTGGTGTGTCTCAGTAGCAGATTTATCACTCCCGCCCTGTGACACGGCAGCAGGAAGCGCGGTCGTTGTTAATCCGGGCCACGGCCGATCCGGCATGAAATTTTGTGATTTTGTATTGGACATGATGTTGGATTGGGTAGCTGCTTTTTGTTTAACCGCTATCCAAACAACCTGCCTGGCATGGTAGGACCTCAAGAGACATAAGTCTCAGCCAGTATAGCTTGATTAGGTCATTGCGGTGTTCAAGCCCGACCACCACGTCAAGGTAGCAGCTTTCGGTCGGGTACTTTCCACTTAGAATCTAATCACTCAGTTGTCGCTTAGTGATTGTAGGAACGGTTTTGGTTTACTAAAGAGGAACACTAGCCTCGGACACCGTCATCCAATTAACGTCTGAGCTCTATTCCGCCAGAGGTGCACAGGTCTCACTAGCCGATCCTGACGGAGAAAATATATTGTGTTTGTCAAACAAATGTTTACAGACCTTCAATCAGTTGACTCAATCACACTTTGGACATAAATTAAATTGATTTTATTATAAGATCATGTGGGAGGAAAATGGATAGGATGTTATTATAAACGTTTGGAATGCAGTTTCGAAGCCTCAAATAAATAAATCATCATTGTTTACCGTAATTTCCTCACCTTTCCAATTGAATATTAATACAAAACAGTGACAAAAGAGTAATATGACGATTAATAATCACAAATTAAACAATTCGCCTCATGGTAAAAAAAATTCTAAACATACCACGTCCCATCCGGAGGAAGTTTGATAGGCGTTTTCTCGAAGTATGAGCGGTCTATCTGAAGCCTCAACTCCTCCAGTTTATACACTGTTTCCTTAACAAGAATAGAACAACCGCAATAAATCTTACATGCATGATCTTGAAGAAGTTTTGATGTGTCGTATAGAAGAAACTGTTAAATGGACGCCCATTTACATCACATTGTAGTTCTAAAACTGTTTTGTTAACTGAAAAACTAACTCTTCTGAGGTGGAAGCACTAAATGTGGCTCCTGGATAATGTTATCATTATACACACGCATCAACATACTTTAAAGGTAGGACGAGCACGTTTGGTGAACAACGAGGATGGCAGGAGATATTCAATCGCGTCATTAACTTGTTCAGGGCTAAAATGCGCCGGATCATAACCCATTATTTGCGCTAATTGTCGCCTTCCACTCTCGTACTCTTTCTTTTCAATACTATGCGTTATTTCTACGTTTATGATAATAACACTATTATCATATCATACCATTTTTCTCAATGTTTTTCAAATATCCTTTGATGCTAGAGACTGAGTTTCTAGTCCCCAGTAATGCGATTCTAGTCACCTTAACACTCTAGGGAATACTAAACAGTGGATTCTAAATACCTTGCATGTTGAGGTCAGAACGTGCCGACGTAGTCCAAACATTGTGCCCTTTTAAGGTTCAACATCCAATATCTTTTCACCAGCATTTTAAAACTTACAGTTTTCCGCCACTGGCTCTTGGTTGCTTCAGAGTGGTACTAGATCTTACTTAGATATACAGTCAGTTATTAGTAAAAGCTATGAGTGTATCGTAATGCATTTCATCTTAATTTTATTCTCTCATTATCCCTTCTCCTTATCCAATATTCAATATCGTTTTACGAGCTAGTATAAACCAATTTGATTTCTTTGTGCTCGCTTCTTGATTGTAAGGTATAGGTTCCTGATCTTCGGTAAACTTCTGCGTAGCTTGTCCCGCCACTCGACTGTCGTAGCCTTGGTTGACTCCAAAGGGAGTAGTGCTAGGATTTATTATATGTGGTTTGTAGTTTGAGGTGTGTTAAGACTGTTACCGCTGTGATTGGAGTTGATCCTTTCGCCAGTTAGTCCTTCGGTATTGTCGACAAGAGAAAAGAGATAGTAATAATAATGCTAATAATAGATATAATTAGTGAAGTTATTTAGACTGAGAGACAGAAACGGAAATAGGAAAGCGTAACAACAGTCAGTGGATTAAGTTTGAAGAATAATATATATATCGGTAATAATAATAGTAAGACGGGAGAGAATGTAAAGAAGTAAAACGACGAGCTTAACTGTCTACCCCTGAATGGTGTTTGCGATTTTAAGGAGGTAGGCCATTTGGATGCAGTCCTTGTGTCGCTGCATGGTTGTCCAGCCTTCCAAAGTGTATCTGTGCATCAACCATCTTTGATTTCAACCAGCTTTCGCTGTCACTGGACGTGGCATGTAGCCCCATAAGTTGTTCATTTTAGTATTGGCATTCGATATCAGTTTGCTTTATCTTTTTCATGGGAACACAATTTGAATCCCAATGCAGTCTGCATGATTAATTCAATGTAGTTTGTTTACCTATCGGTCTTAAATCTCCCAATGTAATATCAAAAGTATATATCCGTGTAGGTAGAGTGTTCAGCTGACGAGTTCTACCGAAATTTGTTGAATTTGTTAAATCCTGCTTCATTTACCTTTTTTGCTTGTTTTAAATTCGTATCGGGAAATAAATGTTTTCAATAAACTAGGTGAATTTTAAAGGCTCTTTGGGATGACTTAGGCTGCAGAACCATTCTCCACTTTGTTTTGTTCTGTCGCATTCGCTGTTCCCCTAGCCAAGTCACATTATCCCTATAAGTTGGAAAACCTTTCTGTGAACACAAGAATAACGTTTATTTTATTACGATGTGCTGATAACTAAGACCTTCCAAACGAATTCAGGCTTTTCATTTCAGGCCTCCTCGCATGTATTCTCAGGCTATGTAAGCCAATAATATAGGATATGCTAGAACAAATTTAGTTCCGTGTACTTAGTAACGACAAGTTATTTGTCTGTATTGAGGCAAAGGCACTGTGATGCTGAAGTTATTCGATCAGCCCATTAGTCAATTCCTGTAGTGAAACACTGAAATGGTGGGGAAATAACTATCACCAACTTGTGACGGACCATTTAAACTAATAAGCAGAATAAGTGAAATCATCACTGTCGAATGCGGGGGAAAACACGAGAATGTAGGCATCGATAACCTCAAACCGCCTCCCGGACCGAATTTTTACCCATCTATCAACATAACCCAGAATTACACCACACAATGATTCCTGCTCTCAAAATTCAAAATCTTGTGATATTTTGGCGAACAAGACACAAAAAACCACAAGATCAGGTAGGCTAGTACATTGGCCACATAGATATGTATACACAATTTATTTCTGATTCGTTTCCACACCTCCTTATTACTGTGTTATTATACGTATTGATGCAATGGTATACGCGACCTAATCCAATTCAGTCAAATCTGTTTTCAATACAAGTTTTACTTTCATCCTTCTAAAATAGGGTGCAAGCCCCACAGACTCACCACTCCCTTTAACTGGTGTTTTTAACTAACTATTCTGACACTACTTTCACCGTCCTGTTTAACAGTGCTGTTGATAGTAATCATAGAAACATCGTTCTTTTAACTCTATGGTAAGATATAAGTCTATTCAATAAACTTTTGCAACAAAAATCATCTGTAATTACGACCTCATTATTAATCTACTAATCCTTTTGGTTTTATTATTGGCTTGTGTGCAACTATCCAAACATTTTGGTTCGTTTCAAAATTGTCAGCATTTTCGAATATTTGGAGTTATATAAGCAAACCTCAAAAAACTGAAAGGCCTAAACCTGGTTTTCATCTCGGAAAACATATTTTTTGTGTCATTGTATTTATTGTTTCCTTTAGTTCCTAGAGGAACATGGGGAATTAGCTGCGCGTCTCCATTTCGTTCGATTTTCCGCCAACTTTTTCACCCCACTCCAAGTCTGCCCACATTCTTTCAACTCCTCTTCGCATGGCCTCCTCCAAGTGACACTTGGACGATCAACTCGCCGCTTCCATTTCAGGTTCCATTCGAGGGCTTGTGTCAATCACGTCTCATAAACCGTTAATGCCCAGCTCTCGCTACGCTCGGGCCCACGCTGTTCCTTGAATATTTCAGAAACGCTTAGTTATAACGGACGCAAAAACCAAAACACCGATTGGCCGCTTGATATTTCTTTATTGTTACACCAACATATAAAAAGAATAAGTGAACTAAGGTCTGAAAACAAATATTACAATAATAAATCATTGTATTACTTCTGACGATGTTTCACTCTTCTTTCTGAACAGCGACCGATGAGACGATGACTGTCGTATTGATGCCTCCGCGAAAATTGGGGAAGTTGACTTTGAGCAAACAACCAAGAATTGATCGTTCAATCTTCAACTCCATTGACACTCCCCGGCAAAAAGCATCCAACTTTTTTTTCCTTCACGACCAGTGCACGTTGACTTGGATGCCATTGCGAGAACCTGGGTCACACGGACAGAGCTGAAATGGAAAACAAACAGAAAAGCCAACACACCACAAGCATACCCACAGCACAATCTCACACATCGCTGACGACCTGCGCCTCCAGATAGAGACCTCCTCTTGACATCTTGCAACCCAATTGCCACTTGCTAGAATGACCCTTGCAGAATGCAACGTGATCATAGCAGTACCTCACGATATTCTAAACTAATCCTCTTATCTACTCACTACCAATTACCACTGAAATCGCTTGTCACTCATTCTGCCTCAGTTCTAGTAATGGTGACGTACGCAAGCCTCAGCCATCTGCACTCACGCTCCCCGGAGTGTGGGATCACAGCTAATCATTGACTCCGTGTGCATTTCATTCTCAGCAATAGCCTAGCCTCCCCGGCGTCTACGACCCATCTGCTGTCTCTAACATCAATCAATTCATTCACGGACGTAGAAGACTCGAAACAACTTCAGAAGTAACCACGACGAAAATTTTAACAAAATTACGCAATAACAACAAGGTACGAAAACAACAAGTAAACACAATGAATCCCAAAAAACACCAATTGATATGACACACCACACATATATACAGACTGTACACAAAAACTCGCGGATCACATCTTGATGGAATTCTTTGAAGAATCGCAGGGCTAACACGAGTACGCCTACAAACCTTCACAGCTTGACGATTGTAATTTGTGGAATGTCCGGACACTAACAGAATAACCAAAAATTACATCAATTGGAACTCACACAATTAATTTACACAAACATATGTACAATCACTACATCAAATGTTGTGGATTCTGACATGACAAACTACCCTTGAAGAACTGTAGGACTTACAGCAGTACGCCTACATTCCTTCTCAGGTTGATGATCCAAGTGGAAGTCGTCCGGACACAAACAGAATTATCAACAGCTAGATGACAGATGATATCAATTCAGTATATACAATATGAACATATGTACAAAATCACACACCGAGCACATTGGACTGCTCATTGATGCGCTACCCTTTGGAGAATTGTAGGACATACAGCAGTACGCCTACAACCCTTCTCAGGTTGACGCTCTAGGTTGGAAAATCGACGCAGAGTTCATTTGCTGATTTCCTTCTATCATCTGTATTTTCAAATCTAAACGGAAACACGCCCATGTCATTGTATCGTAGAATATAGATGACCAACAAACACACGACATATCTTATCAACCTAGTGTAGAAACGGAGTAATTTATACCAAAGATAATAACATTCAAGTAGTAACTTGAAACTAGAAATGCCTTTTTTCATGCAAGTCAATTTAACAATTACTCTCTCGTTTACACTTGGTTTATCCTCACTAAACTGACCATTGATATTCGTACTTTCAAACGAACTGATACTAGCATAGTCATTGCACAAGATACTTGAGTTGATGGGCGTCTTTTTCATTGTGGATGACAACACCAACGATGACTGAGTGACACAAGGTGATGAAGTTAGCAGTGGATCAAAAGCTGTTGTTGCTCGACTTTCAGAAATTTGTCTACCTGCAAGACCACCACTACCACTGACGTCTTTTAATATCAGCTCAGGCTTAGCACTGGCATCTGATGATAGGGAGGCTACATGCTGATCACTCACACTGGCGTTCTCACAAGTACGCATGCCTTCTGGAACTGCACCTGCATTAATTTCTACTTCACGTTCAAGTTCTACAGAACCTTTATTTAACCTAGCGGTAGTAGGAATTCCCTCCAATTCATCATGATCAAACAAAGAGAAATCTGAACTATCATGATCATTATCACTAATATTCACTTCTCCGTGAACTTTATCATTTTCAAACTCTTCGTTAACAGCAGTAGACAATTTTGATTCCTCCTCACAAATCATTAAAGGTTCTATATCTTCACTCTGACTAGTAATACCTTGTAAACATGTGGAGTCAGAACTGTACTCTGAAGCAGTAACTCTCTTCTGTGACACTCTATTCAACAATGGCTTACCAGTTGTAACTACAGACTTCTTCACCGCACAGTTATCGTCACACAATTCGGAGTCAGACCTGGAGTTTACATTTAGCTTATCACTGAACTTGCTCACT